TGTTGCTTTGTCTGTTTGACATTAGCAAGGCAGTGAAGCAGATGTCTTTTTGAAGATAGGCTGCAGTAACGTGGCTTTCTCTCAGCGTCCAAATGTCCGCGTTGCGGCCAGTACAGGCCTCGCGGCCGTCTTGGGGCAAGGTGGTTATAATCGTCACGGTATACCGCCGCCACACAGATCCCCAACAACTGAGTCCAGGGTTGCTCCACTTAACGAAGCTTCCAGGTATGTAGCTGTCTCCGTAAGTCAACATCTAGTATCAATAGATCGATCATCGATGTACGTAATCAATTGTGTTCGTAGATTATCTTAGTAATTCATATATGTTTTGATCGTCAATATATGTAATTATTCTATATTTTACTAATCTAGTTAACTCATACTGATTTAGCTATCTATATATACTAATTTGATGTCGACATCTAATAATATTCGGGTAATCAATTTCTCCGTCATTTCTGTTAAACAATCTGCTTATATTCAATTGCCATGTCTGTGAGCGATATTCACAATCTGTCTCGTCCTCCTCTCCACTCTGAGTGCAACCTCCCCGCCCTTCCCGCTCGCCTCCATTACCCCTTCCCCTCTCATCCCCCTCTCGCCCCCTCAAAGCTCGAATCGATCATCACACTTACTCCATAGACGTCTCTGGTCGTGTAGAACCGATTGACCAAGTACCTCTGTTGTAGATCGGGGCTGCAGAAGGCGCACGCTACGACATCAGCACAGACAGGACACCACATGATCGTCTAACGTGCGCCAGTTAACCAACTCCCCACACTAACAGCTTGTCCGCTCTGTTCCTGCCCAACACGCGCACACACACACACCACACACACACGCCACTACCGAGTCTCTGACACACACCGCACGCACGCACGCCACGCCCACGGTACAACTTATATGTTTTATATTCAATAATCATCTTATTATTATTGTTTTATATTAATATAATCTCATTTATTATTCGATGTTCTTCGCTTTAGTCTCATATATGCTTAGGCACGCCAACGCACGGCACGCCGCACAGCACACCCAAGCGGCGCGCACGACGACACAGCCACTAAGTACGCAGCAGAACAATTCCCAATTGCAACACGCGCCGCACGACGCGCACAACGCCTCACGCCCCACACCGCCACCACCCACGCCACACACACCACACACACACACACACACACGTATATATATATATATACATATCAGGAGTTAATAAAGACAAATGTCTTTGCCTTTATTAACTCCTGATATATATGTATGTATTTTTATGCTCACGCGGGTGTAGCATGGTAGACGTCCCCTTATTATAAACGTCCCCCCTTGCGCATGCGCATGGTATACGGGGGGACCTTTGCCATAGGAGGGTGTGTATCATGCTACACGGGCCCCCTCCGTCTGTTGCGCGAGCGGATAGCGATGGCTTCTGGTCGAGTCGCCCACGATACGTCTATCCGGCTGACGAAAAGTACATTCATTCCTTGTATTAAAAAAACATCACAAAAAGAACCCTATTTGCTTTTTGAAGATTTCAGTAAGTGCAGAGGCTATTAAACGTCTATAGGTGCGCGTCTTATTGGTTGTTCGAGCCCACGTGATGCAATGTCACCTGATTCCGGGCTCCACTCAATTGTTGGCGGACGATGAACTCCAGAATAGGCGGGAATCGAATCTTCTGCCAGATTTGAAGCGAAGGGAAGATTATACGATACTAAAAAGAGACCATTTTCATAGCAGGTGGTCTCTCTCTCTCTCTCTCTCTCTCTCTCTCTCTCTCTCTCTCTCTCTCTCTCCCTTTCTCTTCTCTCTCCGTCTCTCTCCCTTTCTCTCTCTCTCTCTCTATTTCTTTCTCTCTCCCCTTCTCTCTGTCTCTCTTTCTCTCTCCCTTCTCCCCCTCTCTCTCTCGCTCTTAGACCAACAGTCAATTAAAAACGTGGTACATACACCCTCTACGAATGTCGTACAGTACAATAAAATCATAACATACCTAGGAAGAAGTGATATCTAACAAAATCGGGAGGAGGTGTTGGAACATTGCCATCCCAAAAACAGATTTTTTTGTCCACGCTAAGAATTATTATATGCACGCCAGATATTTATAGATTTTCTCTATAATTAATATATTATCACTCTCCGAAAAAAGGCGAGTTTTCCGCGATATTTTAAGCGATGAAGGTCTTAGAAACGCGGGAAACCGGCGCCGCAGGCGGGATTAGCAGCAGTGTCTACACACATCACTGACACTGACCCCCTTCTCTCTCGCTCTCTTTCTTTTTTCTCTCTCTCTCTCTTTCTTTTTTTTCTCTCTCTCTCGCGTTCTTTACCTCTCTCCCTTTTC